AATTGATGCTGTTGAATTGTACACTTAAGGTGATTAATCTTATATGCAAATATATATATCACCACAATAAAGACCTGTATCACTACTAATATCAGTATTTTGGGAAAAATATTTATAGCCTAGAAGGCATCATTTACAGTTTCTAGGGATTCATATAAAGGATGCTGATAATAAATTCCTCTCACAAGCAAGAGTGCCTGTTAAACATGGAAAGGCACTGCTTTCAAGGAGTTTGTAAATGAGTAAAGGTGTAAATGCATACAGGTTTTGACTAATACTTGGAATATGAATATTGCCTTAAAAAGTGATACATAAAGGTTCAGACATGAGAGATTACCTTGAGTATGAAGGGTTGTAGCTGCAGCACTTAGTAACTTGGAAACAGTCAGAGGAAGTGAGAAGTGGGGTGGAAAAGAGTAAAAGATGGAAGATGTAGAAGGAAGGCAGAGAGGGCACTATTGTACAGTAATCGATAAATCTTTGGCTGTTGAGTAAGAAACAAGTAGGAAGATAGAGTTGTAAGAGATAAAACTGGTGTGCCTTGGTGTCAAGCTGAGGCTTTGAATTTCATTTTGTAGATACTGGAGAATCATTGAAACTCCTGAGCAGGTGCTGTTAATTTGCTCAGAGCTGAGCCTTTGGATAGAGACCAAGCAAGGATTGAGTAGAGCTCTGTAGGAAGCAGAAACTTGGGTATGAATGACGGCTGTCACAATAGAGTGCAGAGGGAGATGGGAGTACAATCAAGGAAACAGTTACTGATTTAGATACAGAGAACTTGGTAAAGTAATCAGAAGTTCTTTTGGGTATTGGGGAAGAAGATTGGTACCATTAATAGAAGTAGATAAGGTAGGAAAATGAACTGGCCACGGGGAGGTAGAGAGCTCTTTTTACTGAGGTTAAAAACAGTTTATTTGCTGTGTTGATCATGTATAATGTTTAGCATGTTGCTGCCACTTAGGGCCTCAGTAAACATTTGCAATTTGATTATGTTTTGAATTTATTATTAATCAGTCATTGAACTCCTTTTAGATAAGACTAGACAAATTAAGATTATGCATCCCTTTAAAAGGTAAGAGTGACGATTTGTCTTTGATTCTGAACCTGCATTTTTTTTCCCCAACTTTTTAGTTTGAAAAATTTCAAAGCTGCTGAAGAATTTGAAGGAAAATACACCCACCCTTCATCCTGATTCACCTGTTAAAATTTCACCATGTTTGTATTATTTATGTATTATTTTGTGGAACAATGTGAGAGTAAGTGCAGGGATCTTGATGCGTATTTATTTTGGTTTGTATGCATTGATTCTCAGGTGAGCTGGCAGTGCTGCTGAGACTAGAGCTGGTCTTGTGAGCTCACATTCGATTTTAGTGTTTTCGAGTTGGTAAAGTTCATGGGATTGCCAAGGGAAGAGGCTAAGGGTGTTCTGAGGAGTGTACACAAGTGAAAGATGGGTAAATAAAGAGGACCTGGAGAAAGAAGCTTTAAAGGAGTAGGAAGGGTGGGGGACAAGGTTCCAAAACCCTTACGGGAGTCAAGGAAATTTTGTAAGGGCTTTAAAATATAACAGCTTATGAGCCTACTTTGTACACTGAGGGGAAGAGGCCAACGAAAAGAATGAAAATGCAAGAGGGGTATGTGATATTTGTATGCACAAATGTAGAGAAGGTTAGTAGAATATGGAACCGAGGCCATAAGTGCACAGCATATATTTAGAAAGGCTAGGCCGGGGATTTAGCTCAGTGGTGCCGTTGCCTGCCTCACAAGCCTAAGGTCCCAAGTTTGATCCCTGGTAACCAAAAAATAAGGGGGGGGGTAGCTTGGGATTTTGATGGAGTGTCAGTTTTCTAGAAGATCAGAAGCACTTCTGTGGTCCAGTTGCACTGCAGCTGAGTTACAGAATTGAAGCGGCATCTCTCTCTAGTTTGCTGCTTCCCTGTAGACTTATGGATTATTGTATCTTTGTATCTCTACAGCACCCAAGAAGGAGTAGCTAAGTAGTACATATTTGTAAAGTTAAAACACAGAAATCTAATTTAGGTCTAATGGTTTAATAGAACATTTTCATTACCCTCTTCAGAAAATAATAGGACTGGGGAAATAATTGTCACAGTTTGTAACTGTCTGTTGCTGGCATTCTTTCTTAGTTGACCCGAGCAGTTTAGGCAGTTTGGAGGGGCTAGACAACTGTGATACAAAAGATTTAATCTGTGTTGCAGTCTGCACTGAGAACATACATTAAAATATAGTACCTTTGATGTGCATGTTTTGTTTTATAAAGCTACCATTTGTGAAAAAGTGAGCATAGGTCTAGGGGTACTAAATATATTGGGTTTCCAGAGATGTTGCTCCAGATCCTAAGCTATCCCAGATAGTTATGATAGAGATGCTTGCACCCGCTTGAGGCATCTGACACATTCCCTGTCACCAGTGCGGTGAAACAAGGTTTCATAATAAGCCCATTCTTACTCAGCCTCTCTTACGCAGCCATGCTCTAAGATGAAACAAAAGACCTAGTAACCGGTGTCAGAATATGCTTTAATTCACTGGGAAGCCTACTCCCAGGCTAAAAGCTCATCAAAGCCCCTGCTTGAGAACCAGAATCCAGGAACTGCTATGTGCTCTTTCTGGAAGCATCTGCACATTGATAAAAATACTGTGGTTTAAATTGTTTTAGTAAAAGACATACTGTCATTTACCCCTGAAAATACTACCCTTCACTTTGAACCCACTTGATCCCCATCATTCTTGTCACTTTCTGAAGCAATTACAGAAGTCCTGCTGTGTGAGTGTCTTTAAGTGTGCTATTGCATCTGCCTGGGTGTCTTCCGCTGGTTTAAAACATTTTCCTTTAATGGTCATTTAGACTGTGTGGAAGAGCCAGATGTTGTACTTTGCCAAATCTGGTGTATAAGGTGGATGCAGACACACCATTAATGTTTTTACAAGCTTGCCTTTGCCACTGGGTGACATTTGGCAGCACATTCACCATATTTTTTGTTGTTGCTTTTTTTTTGGTACCTGGGATTGAACTCAGGACCTTGTGCTTGCAAGGTAGGTGGCAGCACCACTGAGCTAAATCCCCAGCTGCCTTTTTTTTTTTTTTTTTTTTTTTTTTTTTTTTTTTTTGATACAGTACAGACATTTATTATTGGGATCTTGTACCTTTACATGACAGGTCTTGGTTCTCATTTTTTCTCCTTATCCCTGCCCTCCCTTCGCCCCCTCCTCCCCTCCCCATTTACAAACACTTTATTTCCATTTTTACATTTTCTCATATTTTTTTCTTTTCCCTTATTACCTTTCCCCTACCCTTCCCACTTTCTCTACACCTTTAGCCCTTTTCCTATTTCACACTGTCAATATCTCATTAGGATCTTATGTACTATTAATAGTTTTTCACACCAGAGAAACTATTAGGTATTTACACATGTGTGACTTATTTATCTCACTTAGGAGTATATCCTCAATATGTATCCATTTTCCTATGAATGAATCTAGTTTCTCATTCTTTATGGCTGAGTAGTATTCCATTTTATAGAAAAATCACATCTTCTTTATTCAGTTTCCAACTGTTGGGCAAATGGGCTGTTTCCAAGTTTTAGCTGCTACAAAATGTGCCGCTATAAACATGGGTGCACATATGTCACTCTGGTACGATTCTTTTAATTCTTTTGGAAAGATACCCAGCAGAGGGATGGCTGGGTCACATGGAACCTCTAGTCCCAGCTCTTTGAGGTATCTCCATATTGACTTCCATAGTGGTTGCACCAGTGTGCACTCCCACCAACAATGGAGGAGGGTTCCTTTCTCCCTGCAACCCTGCCAACATTTGTTATTGGTTGATTTCTTGATAGCAGCCATTCTTTGTGGGGTGAGGTGGAATCTCATTGTTGTTTTCATCTGCATCTCTCGAATGACCAGTGATGAGGAGCATTTTTTCATATATTTACTTACTGCTTTTACTTATTTGTCTGAGAAATGTCTGTTAATTTCAGATGCCCATTTTTGAATCGGGTCTTTATATTTGGGGGGGATGATTGTTTTAAGTTCTTTATATATTCTAGATAAGAGCCCTTTGTCTGAGGAGCGCCCATCTACCATATTTTTTAATCACAGCTGATAAAGACACTCACAGACAAATTGTAGAACTGCTTCAGAAAGTGGCAACACTAATGGATCAAGTGTGTTCAAAGTGAGGGAGAGGTTTGTTTTGTTTTTTTTTTTGAGACAAGGTTTCACTATGTAGTTGAGACTGACCTAGAACTCACTGTGTAGCCCAGGCTGGTCTCGAACTCACAGCAGTTCTCCTGTCTCAGCCTCCTGAGTTCTGGGATTACAGACCTGTGCCACCACACCCAGCTGAGGGAGAGTATTTTGATTCATGGCAGTGTTTTTTGTTGTTGTTGCTGTTGTTTGTTTTTTGCTTTTTTCGGTACCAAGAATCCAACTTGGGACCCGTGCACTTTTGAGGCAGATGTTAGCACCACTGAGCTAAATCCCTGACCCAGTAGTGTATTTTTTACTGTAATAAATTTTAAGATTTAAACATTCACCATGCATTTTGATAACCCCTTGTATGCAAATGATTATGGATTGCTTTTTAGAGTCCATGTCATACTGTACAGATGATGAATCTTTGGGTGGCCATGGTGATGCTCTGCCCCATTAGGAAAGTCCTGTAGTGCCAGAGATTTTCAAATGAAGAACATCATTTAAAACTGATACTAGGAGGGCCGGGTATTTAGCTCAGCAGTTCGGTGGTCTGCCTTGGAAGAGCAAGGACCCAAGTTCAATCCCCAGTACCAAAAAAAAAAAAAATGATACTAGGATTTGCTGCCTATGGCAATGTACTGTTTCCTAATACTTTAACAGAGTTGTTAAAAAATGTTCTGTCTGCTTTTCAAAGAACATGTTGACCTGAATGTGACAGATCATGTGAAATGCCAGGCCAGAGTAAAGGAACTGGTAGTATCTAGCTTCACAAGCAAATTTACTATGTTTTCTTTGATAGTACTTACACTAAAATTGGGATAATACAGAAAAGATTAGCATGGTCCCTGCACAAGAATGACATGCAAATTCATGGGGTGTTCCATATTTTTATGGGAAAAAAGAGTCAAGATAGGTACAGGTACAAATTCCCTATGACGAATGTGATCATTATGTATATCTTAGTACCATTGAACTTAATTTTTAAAAAAATCAGATTTGCCACAAGTGTCACATCTGACTTACCTTGATGTACTTATTATTTCAGTACTACATTTTAAATAGTAGTAGTCAATGGAGAGATCTCTGTAGAGTCTACTAATATGGAAGTAATCATTATGTGTACTATTAGGATCTTGAACATTTGTATCTTTTAATTGATAGATGGAAAATTGATATGGAATGGACTATCAGTAAATTCTATAGAAAAAGACATTGAAGTACATTTTCCAACAGCATTAGAGTGGCTTGGTAAATTTTATCTGTGAGATGGCTCAAAAAGTGAGAAATAGGGCTGAGGATTGGCTCAGTGGTTCTGCTGCCTGCCTCAAAAGTGCAAGGTCCCAAGTTTGATCCCCTGTACCAAAAACAAACAAACAAAAAGTCAGAATTAGATTGGGAAGCAGTGCTGAGTGCTGTTCAAGACTGACAAATGGCATGAGTAAATCAGATACTGATTGTAAATGTGTGCCCTGTGCTCAGCATTGCTCTGTAGGTTGCAGCTTTAAAGCTTTCCTCTGGCTTGTGAAGCTTGGATTTTGGTAAGCACAAATTGTAATAACTAGTAGGAAGGAAATTGAATGTAGTGATAGCAGTTGGGGAGTGGATGGGGGTTACCTAGAGGAGACTTAAGATATTTAGGGAAAGACCTGAAAAATGAGAAGAAAGGAAATAATCTTGGGAAAACTTTGGGAAAAACATCCCAGAGAGAAACAAACAGGGAGGCTCTGAGGTGGGGGAGGTGGGTGATACAGATGATGTAAACCACGGTAAAGAGTTGAGATTTCCTTCTAAGAACAGTAAGAAGGCATTCCAGGTCTTGAAGCTAAGAAATAACGTCATCTGAGCAGTGCTTTAGAGGTTTCTCCTACCCTTTCTGCTTTATGGGAAAGAGCTTGGAAGATATGATTAGTGAGTGAGGGAAGACTAGAAAGGGTCAGTATTGCTCGTTTAGGGTTAAGGTAATGGTAAGTAGGATAAAGATAGTGGCAGTGGAGGTGGGGTTAGAACACCTGGACCTGTTGATGCATTGTACATGCGAGTTATGGGAGGAGGCAGAACGACTTCAGGTGGGTCTTCAGGAGATGATGGTGACGTTTTACTGATAGAAGCCCTGGATAAAGAAAGACCTGTGTGTGTGTGTGTGTGTGTGTGTGTGTGTGTGTGTTGGGAGGAAGGTGAAATGGAAATGAATCCTTTTAGAAGTGTTAGGTTTTAGATCAGTTCCCATGAAGGTGTGGAATAGGAGTTAGATGTGATAGTTGAAACTGAGGAATACCTGTTTGGTGCTTGAGATACACACACACACACACACACACACACACACACACTTGAGATACACACACACACACACACACACACACACGGTGGCCTTATCCTCTAGTGGCTTCTATGATATCTGTAGCTTACCTGTTTGGTGCTTGAGACACACACACACACACACACACACACACACACACACACACGGTGGCCTTATCCTCTAGTGGCTTCTGTGATATCTGTAGCTTACCTAGAAAGAAAAGGTGTAGTGAGAAGAGGATCTAGTATGGGAGAGTTTGACATCTGGCATTTAGAGGTTTATACTAGGAAGAAACAGAAGGAGAATCAAGAGTATGGGACCAGAAAGCAGTGAGTGGAGCCACATGCAGTGGCATAAACCTGTGATCTCAGTTACTTAAGAGTCTGAGACAGGAGGGTTGCAAGTTGGAGCCTAGCCCTTTAGTGAGAACCTGTCTCAAAAATTAAAAAGGGCTGGGGATATATCTCAGAGGTAGTATGTTTTCTTAGCATGTGCATGGTTCTAGTATCATTTCTTCATATGTCACCCATTTTAGAGGAGATGACCAAAAAGGGATGATTTGGGGGACAAAAAAGATGCTTGTATTACTCCTCACATTTAGAAGATTTTGTTATATTTATCCAGAAAGTGTTTGAGTTTACTCTTTGGGGCAGAATTTCTTACCACTGTGCACATAATTTTATTTGGGGGGGGCAAGAATTTGCCATTTTCAGTACTGATGTTTCTCAAAGGATATTTTTTCTAATTTTTCTTTCCTTTTCCCTTAACAAAAAGGTTAATTTCTACTTTATGAAACCAAAATCTGTGATCTTTTTTGGGGGGTACTGAGGATCGAACTTAGGTCTTTGAGCTTGCAAGGCATGTGGCAGCACCACTGAGCTAAATCCCTCTTTCATGACTAACAGTGTGGTATGAGTAGTACAAATAAATATTGTTAAGTATTGCTGGATTCATGTATTATTACATAGATGAATTCCTTTTGTAGGACTAAGCCTGGAAATACTGGGCGGTGTGCACAAATTGGAAAGTCAGCAAATTGCTGCCATCTTTAAACATGTTTTATTTGATATGCTTTGATTCACCTGGCTTTTTATATTCTGTTCAGAATTGAGAATGCATTAGAATGAGCGGGTTCCTGTTTGTATTCATGTTGTTCATCATATTACATTTTTTTAAAATCTCTTTTAAAATTGGCTGTTGGGCCAGGGATTTAGCTGAGAAGTGCTGCTGCCTGCCTTGCAAGTGCAAATTCCTGAGTTCCATCCCTAGTACCCCCCCCCCCGCAAAAAAAGA